CCCCAGAAGCCCCATGTGCCCTACTCTGTCCATCCCCCACATAGAATCATAGAATATCAGGGTTGGAAGGGACCTCAGGAGGTCATCTAGTCCAACCCCATGCTCAAAGCAGGACCGATCCCCAATTAAATCATCCCAGCCAGGGCTTTGTCAAGCCTGACCTTAAAAACTTCTAAGGAAGGAGATTCCACCACCTCCCTAGGTAACGCATTCCAGTGTTTAACTGCCCTCCTAGTGAAAAAGTTTTTCCTAATATCCAACCTAAACCTCCCCCACTGCAACTTGAGACCATTACTCCTTGTTCTGTCATCTGCTACCACTGAGAACAGTCTAGAGCCATCCTCTTTGGAACCCCCTTTCAGGTAGTTGAAGGCAGCTATCAAATCCCCCCTCATTCTTCTCTTCCGTAGACTAAACATCCCCAGTTCCCTCAGCCTCTCCTCATAAGTCATGTGTTCCAGTCCCCTAATCATTTTTGTTGCCCTCCGCTGGACTCTTTCCAATTTTTCCACATCCTTCTTGTAGCGTGGGGCCCAAAACTGGACACAGTACTCCAGATGAGGCCTCACCAATGTCGAATAGAGGGGAACGATCACGTCCCTCGATCTGCTGGCAATGCCCCTGCTTATACACCCCAAAATGCCATTGGCCTTCTTGGCAACAAGGGCACACTGTTGACTCATATCCAGCTTCTCATCCACTGTAACTCCTAGGTCCTTCTCTGCAGAACTGCTGCCAAGCCATTCGGTCCCTAGTCTGTAGCGGTGCATTGGATTCTTCCATCCTAAGTGCAAGACTCTGCACTTGTCCTTGTTGAACCTCATCAGATTTCTTTTGGCCCCATCCTCCAATTTGTCTAGGTCCCTCTGTATCCTATCTCTACCCTCCAGTGTATCTACCTCTCTTCCCAGTTTAGTGTCATCTGCAAACTTGCTGAGGGTGCAATCCACACCATCCTCCAGATCATTAATGAAGATACTGAACAAAACCAGCCCCAGGACCGACCCTTGGGGCACTCCACTTGATACCGGCTGCCAACTAGACATGGAGCCATTGATCACTACCCGTTGAGCCCGACAATCTAGCCAACTTTCTATCCACCTTATAGTCCATTCATCCAGCCCATACGTCTTTAACTTGCTGGCAAGAATACTGTGGGAGACAGTGTCAAAAGCTTTGGTAAAGTCTAGGAACAACACGTCCACGGCTTTCCCCTCATCCACGGAGCCAGTTATCTTATAGAAGGCAATTAGATTAGTCAGGCATGACTTGCCCTTGGTGAATCCATGCTGACTGTTCCTGATCACTTTCCTCTCCTCTAAGTGCTTCACATATACTGTGCCTCCTCACCTGTCCCCATAGGCAGGGCACTGTGAGGAAAGCAGCCTCTCCTGCCCATGAGCCAACTGCCCTCTTCTGGCACAACAGTAGCCCCTGGTGGGTGAAAGTTGTAATTGCAGCACTTCCCCTGCAGAATCTATTTTCTGCAGGGGGGAAAAGATCTGCAGGGGACTTGAACTTTGCATGTGTGCAGTGGTGCATAATTCCTCCAAGAGTAACTAATGTAGATAGTGGTGAAGTGATTCAGCCACCAGGTTGTCTAGATCAGTGGTTTTCAAACTTTTTTTCTGGTGACCCAGTTGAAGAAAATTGTTGATGCCCATGACCCAAAGGGGCTGGGGATGAGGGCTTTGGGGTGTGGGACGGGGCTCAGGGCTGGGGCAGAGGGTTGGGGTGAGGGCTCTGGCATAGGTCCAGGAATGAGGGATTCAGGGTGTGGGAGGGGGCTCTGGGCTGGGGCAGAGGGTTGGGGTGTGGGAGGGGGGTCAGGGCTCTGGGCTGGGGGTGCAGGCTTTGGGGTGGGGCCTTGGATGAGGCATTTGGGGTGCAGGAGGGGGCTTCGGGTTTGGGGGGGCTCCGAGCTGGGGCAGGGGATCGGGGGTGCAGGGTTGGGGCACAGGCTTACCTCCGGCAGCTCCCGGTCAGCAGCACAGCCGGGGTGCAGAGGCAGGCTTCCCGCCTGTCCTGGCACCACAGACCACGCTGCGCCACAGAAGCAGCCAGCAGCAGGTCTGCCTCCTAGGCGGAGGCACGTAAGCAGCTCTCACCCACAGGCACCACCCCCTGCCTGCCCTAGCTCCCATTGCCAGGAACCACTAGTTTTTACTGGCCAGGTGCCATGGTACCTGGGTGCTGAGGAAGGTGACCCAGTGCCTTGCATTCCATGACCCAGTACTGGGTCGTGACCCGAAGTTTTAAAACCACTGGTCTAGAGCTGCTCAGAGCAGAATTATGTAGCATGGTGCTCAAGATGCTGGTGAATGTCTACACTCACACTCCCAAATTTGCTAGCACTGGTGGAAGATTTTCACAAAACCTCAGCATAGGTACAAGGGTTCATAGTATAGATCAGATGGCCTGATTCTTGACCAGTGTGTTGAGTCTGCTTATAAGGGTGCCAAATTTTGGTGTGTGTGGGGTTTTTTTTCGGTGCACATTACAGTCCCTGGGTAATTGGACTGAGGCCATCAAGCTCACTTTTCATTGGCTGTTGATGGTAACAACTTTTGGTCACGTGACCTAGGTTGGAACTCAGCCAGCAGCTAGAAGAGTGCTATATCACATTACTAATCCCCAGAGCCATCTTTTATTTACTTAAAATGCATTTCAGTTTACCTTTACTTGTGATACCATCTGGAAAGACTCTGACTTTCTGGAAGTCAGCCACATATTCGTTTCATTGCAAAAATTTATGCTCTAGTTGACAAGATGTGCAATATGCTGTCAGATTAACAATAAACAAATTCCTGTGCACAGCATGGTCTACAGTTAGTCTGACAGTATATTGCGTGAGTCCCTCTTCTAGATAAGTATTTGACTAGGAGCTTATATAGCTACTTTTAAATCTGTTACTTTTAAATCTTTAAAAGTAGCTAACAGATTTAAAAGTAGCTATACTTGAACAAAAAAACTTCAGAAACAGACTACAAAGAGAAACAGCAGAACTAAAATTCATTTGCAAATTTAACACCATTAATTTGGGTTTGAATAGAGATGGGAGTGGCTGGCTCATTACAAAAGCAGCTTTGCCTCTCCTGGAATTGACACCTCCTCATCTGTTATTGGGAGTGGACTACATCCACCCTGATTGAATTGGTCCTGTCAACACTGGTTCTCCACTTGTGAGGTAACTCCCTTCTCTTCATGTGTCAGTATATAATGCCTTCATCTGTAATTTTCACTCCATGCATCTGAAGAAGTGGGGTTTTTACCCATGAAAGTTTATGCCCAAATAAATCTGTTAGTCTTTAAGGTGCCACTGGACTCCTGGTTGTTTTTGGGGATACAGACTCACACAGCTACCCCCTGATATCTAATTGACTATCTTTAGTCACTTGTTTTAAGTCACATATTTTTAATGCTGTCAGTTAACTATGACTGCTTGCCTCATTTTACCATCTGCTCTCCTCCTGATGATCCTTACCTCTACCCTTTCCCATTTCCCTCTTCTGCATAACTCTCCGTACTCTACCACTCCTTTCCCTATATCTTTGTTCCTTCCTCTTTCCCTCCATCCTCTTCTGCTTGTCACGTTCTACCTCTTTCCCCCACCCCTCCAAACAAACCCCAAAGCTACTGGAATAATAATCATAGCACCTAGTGGCCCCTGCTGAGACTGGGGTTCCATTGTGCTAGGCACTGTACAGCCGCATAGTAAGAGATGTTACCCCAAGAGTAAGCAATCTAAACAGACAAAATGAAGCGGTGGGTGGGGGGAAGGAGAGAAAGTATTATACCCCTGTTTTACAGATGGGGAACCAAGGCCCAGAGAGATCTTGTGACAAGGCCAAATTGGAAGGCTATGGCAGAGCTGGTGGGAATTGAATCTTGAACTCACAGAGGCCCAGTAAAATACACTTAATGGTACAATCAAATAACAACTCAACCTAAATGTTGTAACCCTACTCCTCCTTGCCTCTATTCCCACACTTTTGCTTGAGTGTAAACTCTTTAGGGCAGGGACCATGTCTGTTTTTAATCTGACTATAAAGCCTACTACGCTCTGATCACTGTATAAATAGTAATGACAATGCCTTTATTCTTTCTCTCTATTATATTTGCTTAAAGAGATACTGTTGCCATTGAAAGCATATTTAATATTTCTACTTGTTATTAGAAATAATGGGGGGGGAATACAGCTGATTTATTTTTCATCACTCATGTTCTTTTAGTTGCTTGCATTTCACTCACATTGGACCTTATTAAATTAGATTGGGTAATGAAACTTTCCAATTAGTCTTTTGAATTTCAGAATTTCCTGCACTAGCCCAGTGCTGCTGTTTGTCTAAAAAACCAGAGGGTAATGTTGAAATACACTTTTTTCACCAAATTAAAAAAGAGAAGAGAAAAGACTTGTATTTATATAGTGAACCAAATTCATTGCTCATTTGAACTCAGTTGATTTCAGTTGAGTTACACCAAGGATGAATTTGGCTCATTGTTTCTGTAATACCCTTTAAAACAACAAGAAGCTCAGTGATGGGCCTTAAATTGGTTGACAGTAATCATTGAAATGGTCCACCATACCTCTGTTCAGTGGTCCTTGAACAATTTTTATAGTGGGGGAATGCGGAAACCATGTATTTGTGTTGTTACTACTCCAAGCCCTGGGGTGCGGCAGCACTCCCAGCACCCCTAGTTCCAGCACCTATGCCTCTGTTTAATTTATTCTTTATACCAGTGAAGCAGTAAATCAAAGATGGAGTTCATGCTTTTAAAATTAAAAGTGCCATGTTTTCCATGAGCTCCTGCTTGTGATGAACTCAGTTGTGGATTTTTAAACTGCAGCCGCAAAAGTATTAGGGTCTGGGGTTTTGGATCAGGCCAATTTCAAACTAGTTTTTTTTTTTAAATTAAACTAAAGAAAGCATGTCACAGCTTGCCCGACCTGTTCTGTTTGAAACATATTGAATATTTTTTATCTCCCTCATTGTTCCTAGGACATGAAAGCTACATCACCTTTTGCCACTTAGAAAATGAGGTTGCATTCACATGTAGTGCAGATCACACAATTAGAAAGTGGGATGTGATGACAGGCCAGTGTCTGGCCATTTACCGAGGGCACACATCAATTGTCAACAGGTTGGTACTACAGATTTTTCATTTAAGAGGATCATTCCATTGTGCTTCTGTAACTGGACACGAGATAAATTGTATGCAGTGCTGTTGTAGCCCTGTGGGTCACAGGATGTTAGAGAGACAAGGGGATGAGGTAATATTTTTTGTGGGACCTGAGGACGAGCTCTGTGTAGCTCAAAAGCTTGTCTCTCTCTCCAACTGATGTTGGTCCAACAAAAAATAATATCTCACCCACCTTGTATCCTGGTAGAAAGACAATTTATCTGGTAATCTCCATTATACAACTAAATGGGTTGTGTAAATCTTTGACTCTCTGCTACTCATGTTCTTTGCGGTAATAATTAGTTATCCTAGCAACGGTGCTGACACAGCTATAGACTGGAGATGGAAGAACAGCAAAAGGCTCACAGTATGGTGAATCTGCCACTGGGAATGGAATTCTAGGAGAAATTGCTCAGTTGAAAGCAGATACCTGTAATAAATAGATTTTAAAAGCAGCGTGTCAGCCATTCTTGTTAGCAAAAAGGACATGGTCCTGTTTGAATGATTTATTCCTTATTGTTAAAACTAAGTTTAAAATTACACTGTGACCTCTTACTGAACTTGCATATTCCCTAGCTTGTTATCCTAGGGTTTCTCCTGATTGCTGGAAAATATTTACTTATTTAGGAATAGAGCAATTGAAGCATTTGTTTTGAAAGGAAAAAACAAATACACGCATGTAACAGAATATGTAAACAGTTGGAGGAGACAGCTCAAATACTGGGTCAGCCAGTTTTCATGACATCTTGAATTAAAGGGACACCAAAACATTGCCCATTTTAGATGGCTGCCTTTGCAGCCTGACAGGTGCCAAAGGGCCATGTCTAACTTACGGAAAAGAAGGTGGTTAGAAGTATTCCTAACCCTAACCCACCCTGCCCTGTCTGTAATTTGGACATTTGGCTTCTTGATCTAAGTGGACAACCTTCTTTTCCTCATTAAGGTGAAGGTGCTATGAACTGCAGGGTAGAACTTCATGGGCTGCATGCTGCTCTTTGATCAGATCTTCTGTTGTCCAGTGGACTGAGTGCTGGACTGGGTGTCTGATCCTACATCTGTCACTGACTCCCTTTGAGAGTTTAAGGAAGTCACTTAACCCCTCTGTTCTTCAGTTTCTCTGGCTATGTCTACACTACAGCTTTTGTCAGCATAATTTATGTTGCTCAGGGTGTGAATAAACCACCCCCCTGAGTGATGTAAATTACACCAACATAAGCGCTGGTGTGGACAGCACTATGTCGATGGCAGAGCTTCTCCTGCCAGCATAGGGAGCAGCTGCTCGCCAGGGCTGAAGTAGTGAAGCTGTTGAGAGAGCTCTCTCCCATTAACGTAGAGCAGCTACATTAGAGAGCTTACAGCTGCGCCGCTGTAATGCACGGCTCTCTCATGTAGCCGTAGCCTCTATCTGTAAAACTGGGATAATGATGATCATCCTCTTTTTGTGAGATCCTTGACTAGGTATTTTTTTAAAAGTTGTTTTTAACCTGCCTGTTTGTCTGACAGTTGTGTGATAATTGGTCTTAGGAACCATCATCTGTGGTTCCAAGTTCTTGGAAACTAAATGTTCGATTAGTTTAATTGCTGTTATTGTTGGCTATTTTCTTTGGCTTTTGGACAACTAAATAGCCATAATGAAAAATGAGCTGCTAAATAAGTTTATAAAAGCAACTGATAACTAATGAATAACACATGGTAGCGCTGCTAGTCAAGGTTATTTTTTAAAGGGTGCCCAAAATTAGTCTATTTTAGGTACCTAAATAAGTTACCTGACTTCAGAATGCTGAAGCAGGTTTTGTTTTGGCTTGTTTTGGCTTTTGGGTGGGGGGGGGGTAGAGGAGAGGGAAGGGAAGGATAACATGTGATTATGTATATGCAGAAGGGCCAAATTAAGGTTCCACATGCAACCTTAATACTGGGATTTCCTAACTTCCGAATGCTTATATTTGTAACTTTAACATTCTTTTTATCCTGTTTTTTACATGTAATTCATATAGTTAATGAAAAGATCAGCAATTAAATGAGGATAAAAAATTGTAAGAGGATTAAACTCTCATTCTTCAGGGTATAAATAACCCCTAATTAGCTGGAATTAGGAAGAAATTTCTTCTATGGGCAAATTATTTCATATATAATTGTCCACTATGGGATTTTTGTATCTTCCTCTGAAACATTTGGTGTTAGTCACTGTTGAAGATAGGATAGCAGATTAGATGGACCTCTGATCTGGTTTGGCAAGTCTTATGGTCCTGGGAATCTTCCATTGTCAGTGTATCAGAAATCTAGATACGTCTTGCAGGTTCAGTGGGGAATTAGAGTTGCTTGCTAGCAACATGGTGTCCTAAACTGGAATGGAAATGTTAAGCAGCAGAGAATCAAATACCAAAGGCCAAAACCTGGATGAACCCTGAATGGAGTAGTCTTCTGCCTTGTAATGTGTTTGTTTTCACTTGTAACTGGGTAAGTCTCTGCAGGACTGTGCCATGTCCTTGCGTGTGGCAATGAGGCGCTCACATTGATATATTTAATATATCTGATGGTTGAACAGTTATTTGAAGGACAGTTGCTTCTTGTGCTTCATTGCAGTCTTGGTACAGTACCCTTTATGCAGTCACCGGGGGTGAGGGGGCGGCAGTTAAAGCACAAAGCAACAATGTGTATACTAGTTCTTTATTTTTAACAGGATCCTGGTTGCCAAAGACTATCTGTTTAGCGGCTCCTATGACAGGACAGCTCGGTGCTGGAGTGTGGATAAGGAGAAGCAAATCCAGGAATTCCGGGGCCATCGGAACTGTGTTCTGACTCTGGCTCACTACTCCTCCAGGGATGTTCATGATGAGTCAGAGGAGGAGCAGGAGAAACTGAGCCGAGACTTCCTGGTGACAGGAAGCACAGACTGCACTGTTAAGGTCTGGTGGGTGTCGAGTGGGCGTTGCTACCAGACCCTGCTAGGGCACACTGGGGCTGTTTTATGCCTTATACTCGATGCTCCAAACAGGGAGCTATTTTCTGGCAGCACAGATTATACCATCCGAACATGGAATATTGTAACCGGCGAGCAGTTAAAAGTGTTCAAAGAGCATCAAGGATCGGTTATCTGTCTAGAGGTAAGAACCAGTATGTTTCATACTGCCACCTGGAGGTGGTTATCCACATCGTACCATTCTTGGCCAAGAACTGAATAGGCCAAGGGGACTGAGCTGCCACCTTATACTCAGAAGAGGTTCCTCTGAGACAGCGTACAGCAATAACATGCAGGAAACCTGTCCAGTTGTTGCCTCGTCCGTGGCTAAAAAGCTTCAGTACTGACAAGCTATGAAACAAAATGTTCCAGTAAGTGTGACTAAGAAGCACAAGCTTTAGTCTCAGACCACAAAGTAGCCAGAAACTGGTGTTTGGGATAAAAAGCCAGGTAGAAGCGAGGCAGGAATTCCAGCTGGAACAGCTGCAGAGAAGGGCTAGTTGGATGATCAAGGGAATGGGGAACCTATCTTATGAGAGGAGACTAAAAAAGCTTTGCTTGTTTAGCTCTGAAAAATGAAGGCCGAGAGAGGATATGATTGGTTTCTAAATACCTCAGGGGATAAATACCAGGGAGGATGAAGAGCTATTTAAGCTAAAGGACAAAGTTAGCACAAGAACAAATGGGTATAAACTAGCCATGAATAAATTTAGGCTAGAAATTAGAAGATTTCTAAACATCAGAGGAGTGAGGTTCTGGAGCAGCCTTCAATAGGAGTAACGGTGGCAATCAACTTAATCTAACAATAGAGCTTGATAAAAATATGAATGGGGTTATATGACACGATTGTCTCCAGTAGCAGGCAACTGGATTTGATGACCCGGGAGGTCCCCTCCAGTCTTTTGTTTCTATGAAAGGTAATAAGGAGCTTTTTATCAAATCTATTTTTAACTCTTAATGTAATATTTTTGTTTAGCAAATGGGGTGAGAGCATAATTTTAATTTGGGGAGATGGGTCTGTCCCTGGCCAGGCGTTAAAATATAAATAGTAATGGAAATAATGGCATTTTGTAACCTTGAAACAACTCCTCTTCCACAGAAGCTGTTCTGTCTTTCCTAAGCTTCTGTATGGCTAAAGGAAAGGCAGATCTAATTTTCCTAGATCTGTTACCTAGATCCTCTATGAGCTTGGAATTCATATGAGTTAGAATCATAGAAGATTAGGGTTGGAAGAGACCTCAGGAGGTCATCTAGTCCAACCCCCTGCTCAAAGCAGAACCAACCCCAACTAAATCATTCCAGCCAGGGCTTTGTCAAACTGGGCCGTAAAAATCTCTAAGGATGGAGATTCCACCATCTCCCTAGATAACCCATTCCAGTGCTTCACCACCCTCCTAGTGAAATAGTTTTTCCTAATATCCAACCTAGACCTCCTCCACTGCAACTTGAGACCATTTCTTCTTGTTCTGTTATCTGCCACCACTAAGAACAGCCTAGCTCCATTCTCTTTGTAACCTCCCTTCAGGTAGTTGAAGGCTGCTATCAAATCCCCCACTCACTCTTCTCTTCTGCAGACTAAATAACCCCAGTTCCCTCAGCCTTTCCTCGTAAGTCACGTGCCCCAGCCCCCTAATTATTTTTGTTGCCTTCCGCTGGACTCTCCAATTTGTCCACATCCCTTCTGTAGTGGGAGGCCCAAAGCTGGACACAATACTCCAGATGTGGCCTCACCAGTGCCGAAAAGAGGGGAGAAATCACTTCCCTCTATCTGATGGCAATGCTCCTACTAATGCAGCCCAATATGCCGGTAGCCTTCTTGGCAACAAGGGCACACTATTGACTCATATCCACCTTCTTGTCCGCTGTAATCTCCAGGTCCTTTTCTGCAGAACTGCGGCTTAGCCAGTCTGTCCCCAGCCTGTAGCGGTGCATGGGATTCTGCACTTGTCCATGTTGAACCTCATCAGATTTCTTTTGGCCTAATCCTCCAATTTGTCTAGGTTACTTTGGACCCTATCCCTACCCTCCAGCATATCTACCTTGCCCCCCATCTTAGTGTCATCCGCGAACTTGCTGAGGATGCAATCCATCCCATCATCCAGATCATTAATGAAGATGCTGAACAAAACTGGCCCCAGGATTTACCCCTGGGGCACTCTGCTTGATACCAGCTGCCAACTAGAGTTTGAGCTGTTGATCGCTACCCATTGAGCCCGACGATCTAGCCAGCTTTCTATCCACCTTATAGTCCATTCATCCAATCCATACTTTTTTAACTGGCTGGCAAGAATACTGTGGGAGACTGTATCAAAAGATTTGCTAAAGTCAGGGTATATCATGTCCACTGCTTTCCCCATATCCACAGATCCAGTTATCTCATCATAGAAGGCAGTCAGGTTATTCAGGCATGACGTGCCCTTGGTGAATCCATGTTGACTGTTCCTCGTCACCTTCCTCTCCTCCAAGTGCTTCAAAATGGATTCCTTGAGGACCTGCTCCATGATCTTTCCAGGAACTGAGATGAGGCTGACCAGTCTGTAGTTCCCTGGATTCTCTTTCTTTCCTTTTTTAAAGATGGGCACTATATTTGCCTTTTGTCCAATCGTTCAGGACCTCCCCTGATTGCCACAAGTTTTCAAAGATAATGGCCAATGGCTCTGCAATCACATCAGCCAACTCCCTCAGCACCTTCGAATGCATTAGATCCAGTCTCATGGACTTGTTCATGTCCACCTTTTTTAAATAGTTCTTTCACCATTGTGTGCTCCTCACCTCCTCCCCATAATATGCTGCCCAGTGCAGCAGTCTGGGAGCTGACTTTGTCAGTGAAGACGGAGGCAAAAAAAGCATTGAGTATGTCAGCTTTTTCCACATCATCTGTCACTAGGTTGCCTCCCCCATTCAGTAAGAGTCCCATGCTTTCCCTGACCATGTTCTTGTTGCTAACATACCTGTAGAAATCTTTCTTGTTACTCTTCACATCTCTTGCTAGCTGCAACTCCAATTGTGCTTTGGCCTTCCTGATTACACCCCTGCATGCTCGAGTAGTATTTTTATACTCCTCATAGATTCATAGATATTTAGGTCAGAAGGGACCATTATGATCATCTAGTCTGACCTCCTGCACAACTCAGGCCACAGAATTTCACCCACCACTCCTACAAAAAAAACCCTCACACCTATATCTGTGCTATTGAAGTCCTCAAATCGTAGTTTAAAGACTTCAAGGAGCAGAGAATCCTCCAGCAAGTGACCCGTGCCCATGCTACAGAGGAAGGCGAAAAACCTCCAGGGCCTCTTCCAATCTGCCCTGGAGGAAAATTCCTTCCCGACCCCAAATATGGCGATCAGCTAAACCCTGAGCATATGGGCAAGATTCATCAGCCAGATACTACAGAAAATTCTTTCCTGGGTAACTCGGATCTCACTCCATCTAATAGCCCATCACAGGCCATTGGGCCTATTTACCATGAATATTTAATTACCAAAACCATGTTATCCCATCATACCATCTCCTCCATAAACTTATCGAGTTTAATCTTAAAGCCAGATAGATCTTTTGCCCCCACTGCTTCCCTTGGAAGGCTATTCCAAAACTTCACTCCTCTGATGGTTAGAAACCTTCGTCTAATTTCTAGTCTAAATTTCCTAGTGGCCAATTTATATCCATTTGTTCTTGTGTTCACATTGGTACTGAGCTTAAATAATTCCTCTCCCTCTCTGGTATTTATCCCTCTGATATATTTATAGAGAGCAATCATATCTCCCCTCAACCTTCTTTTAGTTAGGCTAAACAAGCCAAGCTCCCTGAGTCTCCTTTCATAAGACAAGTTTTCCATTCCTCGGATCATCCTAGTAGCCCTTCTCTGTACCTGTTCCAGTTTGAATTCATCCTTCTTAAACATGGGAGACCAGAACTGCACACAGTATTCCAGGTGAGGTCTCACCAGTGCCTTGTATAACGGTACTAAAACCTCCTTATCCCTACTGGAAATACCTTGCCTTGGGAAATCCCAAGACCGCATTAGCTTTTTTCACGGCCATATCACATTGGCGGCTCATAGTCATCCTATGATCAACCAATACTCCAAGGTCCTTTTCCTCCTCCGTTACTTCTAATTGATGCGTCCCCAGCTTATAACTAAAATTCTTGTTATTAATCCCTCAATGCATGACCTTACACTTCTCACTATTCAATTTCATCCTATTACTCCAGTTTACAAGGTCATCCAGATCCTCCTGTAGGGTATCCCTGTCCTTCTCTAAATTGGCAATACCTCCCAGCTTTGTATCATCCGCAGACTTTATTAGCACACTCCCACTTTTTGTGCCAAGGTCAGTAATAAAAAGATTAAATAAGATTGATCCCAAAACCGATCCTTGAAGAAGTCCATTGGTAACCTCTCTCCAGCCTGACAATTCACCTTTCAGTAGGACCCGTTGTAGTCTCCCGTTTAACCAATTCCTTATCCACCTTTCAATTTTCCTATTGATCCCCATCTTATCCAATTTAACTATTAATTCCCCATGTGGCATGGTATCAAACGCCTTACTAAAATCTAGGTAAATTAGATCTACTGCGTTTCCTTTGTCTAAAAAATCTGTTACTTTCTCAAAGAAGGAGATCAGGTTGATTTGGCACGATCTACCTTTTGTAAAACCATGTTGTATTTTGTCCTGTTTACCATTGACTTCAATGTCCTTAACTACCTTCTCCTTCAAAATTTTTTCCAAGACCTTGCATACTACAGATGTCAAACTAACAGGCCTATAATTACCCAGATCACTTTTTTTCCCCTTTCTTAAAAATAGGAACTATGTTAGCAATTCTCCAATCATACGGTACAACCCCTGAGTTTACAGATTCATTAAAAATTCTTGCTAATGGGCTTGCAATTTCTTGTGCCAATTCCTTTAATATTCTTGGATGAAGATTATCTGGGCCCCCCGATTTAGTCCCATTAAGCTGTTTGAGTTTCGCTTCTACCTCAAATATGGTAATGTCTACCTCCATATCCTCATTCCCATTTGTCATGCTACCATTATCCCTAAGATCCTCTTTAGTCTTATTAAAGACTGAGGCAAAGTATTTATTTAGATATTGGGCCATGCCTAGATTATCCTTGACCTCCACTCCATCCTCAG